AAGTTGGTCCAAATTAAACCCTAGAAAATGTAACATTTTTTATATTGAATGTCTCGATATAACTGTACTTCATGATATTTTATTTGGAAATACTTCACTCAACAATGTTATCTTAAAGATCATCCAATCAAAGGAGGGCATAAAACCAACTAATTAAGAAAGATATAGAAGCATTTTGCACAAATAAATTACATACTAAAACACCTTAGACGACCCAAAAGAACCCTCTCACCTAATAAGTATTTGCATGATCAATCAACAACCTCTATATTTTAGGTTCAGAGAATCTCCATGGGTCTCAAACAACATGAATGTCACTAGACGAAACAAAAGAAACTTGATGGAAAGAATAGTAAAATACAGACATAATAAAGAACAAAGAAAATTTAGCCCACAGTTTTGCAATAGTCTTTTAACATCGATTAAATGACAATTTTACATCGAATTATAAGATCAATGTTGATCCCAAGGATGTAGAATGCTATAAACACTTTTTATATTGATTAAAATTACAACTGCTGTAAAAAGTTGTCATTCTTCTATTTGAGACATTCACATTGTGTTTCGTCAACCGAACCTAAGCCCTTCTCAAATACCATGTCTCCCTGCGATTCTCTTGCAATCGTGGCTGTCACCCTGCTCAAACACATGACACCTCATGAGTCACCATCACTAAATACTCAAAAGAGGAGGGATTGACAATGAGGAGAGATTCGTTTCAGGATTTTTAATTTGGGTATAAGAGCGAAGAACACAAGAGGGAGAGGGAGTTTTGGTATATTGTTAGATTAGCACGAGTGTAAAATGAACTGGTTTTAAAAGTCAATCTACATTCGATCTAATTTGAATCAATGTAATTTTTTTTATATCAATTTCAATTAGAACAAATGTAAAATCATTTTTTTACACTGATCAATTTAGAATCAATATAAAAAAGTTGCTTTAAATTGTAAACATGCTACATGGTCACTATGTCACGACAAAAGTAGATGCTACATGATCATTTTTTTGCACTTATTACTAGAAAGCTGAAACTAATCATAAAAAAAGGTAGATGAAGGACAAAAGTGATAATCTTAGCGTGTATGTTTTGAGAAGGATTATTATCTAACCCTTCAACTATTTTGTGTAAAAAATAAGTTGGTTATCTGTGACAACAACTTAAATTTGTAAATGACTTTCTTTTCTAAAATTAAGTTGTTTTCATGAATTTACAAATTTGAAGCTTATAATTAATTTTTGGTTTTCTCTCTTAAAGTCGATTTATTTCATAAAAAGTCTTTTTTTTGTTTTATTCAAACAAAATTAATTATCTTAAAATTATTCTTCAACAAACTTATTTAAACAAAAATTCATTATAACTATAATAGATTATAAAAATAATTAATCATTAAAAATAGTATAATTCTTTTTATAATTTTTTTCAAAAACACCTTATTAGTTCCTATGCTATGTAGAGAAATATTTATGAATTAAATTTTTGAAGAATTCAAATCAAATCGAGCCTATCTAGATCATTTAATTGATTCATTGAATTAGTCAAATTATTTAAAAATATAAATTAATTTATTTTTAAAATTAGGTTGATTCGATATAATGTAATTATTCATTTTATATTCATATATAAATCAAAATTTTTTAAAATAAACTAAACTGAATTAATTCACTTTATAAAAATGGATTCATTCTAATTCTTTCTCAAAATAGATAAATTTTTTTGAATACACCAATTATAGTTTGGTTTAGATTTTTTTTTGTACAACCCTAATTCTACCACAATAAAGGGGGTAAAATACTATATAATGCAAGGACATTCCGGTCCCAAAACCCATATGCGCACCAACCATGACTATACGACTTTAATGCATACATTACATGATGCGTTAGTCTAGCAAGTTTAGTGGCCATATGTGACAACACAAGGTCGAAATTTTCTGAAATGACATCTTAGCAATCTTTCACATCTTCACCAATCAAGATAGGGCAATTGTTCGAAATTGAACCCTAGGATGCCCTAATCTAAATGTTCCAAATTGTCCCTCTTGTTCCCCGGAAGTCAATGTGTTTTTTTGTTAAACTCATTGTTATCCAACGGTACGGTGTACACCAAAAGTCAGCAAATCCATGTTTGCTACATTATCTGCAGCAACAAAAATGAGAGGCCAAAGGCTCCGTAACATAAGCGCGTCTTACTGCACTACTCAACATGAACTGAACTAGATTGTAGATTGTCGGTTGTGGGGTTGATTTGGGAGTGGTAGAAGTTTCGATATATAGTTATTGCTTTTGTTAAGAGTGGTTGAAGGAAGAAGTCAAAAAGAGAAACTTTTGGATGATTTGAGACCACGTATTCACAATCACATCTTTAATTAATCTCTAAATAATATATAATTTTTTTTTATAAATTGAAAATTTACATACATTTTATGTAATTATTTGTTGGAACATGATGTTAGATTGTCTAATCACTTTTTGGCCAAGAAATTAACTCGTAAGACTCGTGGTAACTAATGTTTACTCCTCATTTAATAGGCTACGTACCGTCGTTAACAGTAGATAATTGAAAGACACATTTTCGAAACAATAACCTTTCACCCATATTTTTGTGTATAGTGCCCTCATGGCGCCCTTATACTTTGTTTTTTGTTGGTAAAATGAAAGACAAGAAACTTAATTCTTTTAAAACCTTTTTTTTCTTATTAGAAATGGTTTTTTTATTTTTTATTTTTACATTCCTTCATGCTATATATTATATTGTGAGGGAAGAAAGATAACAAATAAAAAATAATCAATTTTATCTGTGTGTACAATGTCATTAGAAAGGGGGAAAAGATAGATGAAAACAATTATATATAAAATAAGTGTAAAAGTTAGAATGTGAAAAAATCATGTTATTTTTACTATTCAAAGATAAGTGTGCATGGTAGTCTGAAAAATCAGAACGTGAAAATATATAATATTATTGATTTGAAAAAGAAAAATGTTTATTTGAAATGACTTTTGTTTTCATGTTTTTAAATATTAATTTACATGACATAAAAGAATAGACACTTATTTTTTTTAATAGATGTATAACTAAATATATATATATATATATATATATATAAGTGTAATAAACAATTTTTTTTTATAAAGTTTGGATAATATAATAAAATAATAGAAACTTAAATTTATTAAAAATTAAAAGCTTTTTTGTTTTTAAGAATTTATCAAATATAAGGAGAATATAGTTTACTATTCAACAATGGTTTTGATCTTTACATGTTCCTTAACTCTTCAATACATATGTCAGAATAATGGGAGAAAACCTATGTAAGCTTATGGTTATTCTAGTTAATTACTTGTGATTAAAACAATACCTCGATGACGATCAGCCATCCTCATTAGTCATTATACTCTATCAATCCTCACTAACCATGCTAGAAACACTTCATTATTTATAATTACATAGGAACAATATTATTCGGCATATGTGAAAATTTCACTCATCCAATACCTCACATGGGTGCTGATATAGAAACGAAAAAACTTCGATTAAATTGATGATCAATAACCCCAATATCCATCATGTTTTAGTATTCTTTTAGCTATATTGTGCATGTATTGCATTCCATGAATTATAGTTTTATTCACTCGCGTCGTTATCCTACAAAAAACTATGACACGGGGATTAGGTTTTTTCTTTCACACAAAATTGATTTTTAATAACATTTAATATGATTTTTAGTGACAATAAAAATTGCTACAATTATTTTATTTCTAGTCGATGTGAGACTTGTAAAATGAGGGTTATCCTCTACTTACATATTCTTTAATTATCTTATTTTTTAATTATTTTATTTCTTAATTAATTATTTTATCTACTATAATCGATGTAAGATTTAGATTTTTTTCTTATTTTTTTTCATTGTCTTATCTCCTAAGAGATGTGATACTTACAAAATGAAAGTTGTTATTTACTTACATACTCTTTAATTATTTTATCTATAACCGATGTGAAACTTGTGTTTTTTCCAATACACCTCCTCAAGTTTTAGCACTATTGAGCTTATGTAATAGTGAGTAATCTAATACCAACTTAAAATAGTGAGTTATAGGTCTAACTCAACCCTACAAAACAAACTTGTAAGATGAGAGTTATCATTTATTTATATACTTTTTAATTATCGTTAATAGTAAATTTTGGTGTAATGTAAATATATTTTTAGTGGCTATTATATATTAATTATTAATATTTTATTAAATAATAAAATAGAGATAATTAATTTATTACTATTAAATAATTATTATTAATAATAAATTTTGTTGTAATATATCTGTAATCCAACTTCAGTAGATTTTGTTCATATTTGAATGTGCAATAGTACTTAATTATTTGGATTACGTTCATTTTAGGGTTAAATAGCTTTCCTTAACTTCTTTCAGAAAAATTCAATTAAAGATATTTTTATTACAGAAATAAAATATTCAAATACATACCTAGGCCTAGCTAATATTTTTAAGATAGACTGCTTTATTCTAAAGCATTAATTAGATTGTTCTGTTGAAATCAAATCGGATAGATTTCCATCATCTAGTTTTATTTATAGGTAATGCTCAAATTCCTTGTAACCGTAGATGAATTGCAATCCTTGAAAATTTAGTCCACACAGAGTAAACTCTTATTATTGGCACATACATGGCAAACTAATTACGGATACCGATGTAGTTGTAATTAATTAATGTACAATTCTTGTGGAGTGAGAGGATATTAATTTACCTTCTCGTACGTACACAGCTATAGAAAAGTTCATTTCCAAGATCTCAATCCTTAATTGCAAGATGACTTATAACTAATAAAAGGATAAAATTTAGATATAATTTGTTTAAATGATATCGGTGCTATTCTTCGGTTTAAAATAGAATTTTATTTCGATAATATAAATATATATATAATATTAATTTAATTAATATATATTTATATATTATTGAAATAAAATTTTAATTATGATTAAATAGCACCGACCACGCCAAAAAGATTATACCTAAGTTTTATCTATAAGGTAAAAAGGTAAAGGCATAACAAGGACCTTAGTGCAGCTTCTTTCTAAAACAAACCTGCAGTACTTTTCTCCAGTGAAATGTTCATCAGATCTTCATCACATTGAACTGCTCCATCATCAAAAAGCCAATTCTCCAACAGCGTAAGAGGCACGTGCGTCTCAAGTGGAGGAGATCCATTGTGTTTGGAGGAGTTAAGGATCAAGAAGGATTCATCAAAAGCATAATCTTGTGTGCATGTGGTAGTGGTAGTGGTAGTGCTATATGCTCCCTCACTAGAACTGGACCCTCTTGTGTTGTTGATCACATTGCTGAAGGAGTGATACCCCAGTGGATTTGTTTCCGTTGAGTTTGGGGGTTTCATCCAGTTTTCCAGCAACCGTGAAATGTTTTCGTAGCTTGATGCATATGGTGATGATGATGATGATGCATTGGGATGGTGGTGAGAACTTGAAGAAGGCTTGGTATCTGACTCAACATGAGTTGCTGGCTTGTGAAGGGACAAAGCTTCACACAAGGCTTGCTTGGCCATTTTGATATCTGTTTGTAGTCTTCTCTCCCACTGACCCTTTGAATGTGATGAAGAAGAAGAACAAGAATGTCCCTCTGGGTGATGAACACCCTCATCACTCCCACTTTGATCATTTTGTTTCAGCTTCTTCTTCAAATGGGTATTCCAATAGTTTTTTATGTCGTTGTCTGTCCTCTGTGGAAGATAGGAAGCTATTGCAGCCCATCTGCAGATATATAATGAGGTCATTCAATAAATAAGCAAAAAAATTAGCATAGTAATGGATTGAAACAGGAGATCCAGATAAACTTAATTTCTACGTACATGTTTAACTATTTTTGACTTTTTTTTTGTTTTCTTCATTTCGTGATCACATATACTTGTTTGAATTTGGAAATCTTGTAACTAATAGTAAGTTAGTATCGTGGCTTAAATATTAAAGAGTCAAAACATTAATTGAAACCAAAGCAAAGTAAACAAATAGGTACCAACAATGCTATAAAGTGACGTCTCACAGATATAAATTAAATTTTTTTATTGTTATTTATGTCATGTTAATAGAAAATAAAAATAAAAATAGGGTTTCTAGGTATTACCTGTTGCCCAGAAGGGCTTGGAGGTGGATTATCATCTTCTCCTCATGTTCGGTGAAATTACCTCGTTTGATACCTGGTCGAAGATAGTTGATCCATCTAAGCCTGCAGCTCTTACTGCATCTCATCAAACCTTAAAAAAAGTGGAAGTTAATGGTGCATTAAATCAATTACATATATGCATTCTTTCCAAGAAAATAAAAATGTGTGTGCGTGTGAGGTATAATAAGCACATAAATGAAATAGAAATGTAAATTAATTACCTGCGTTGGCGGGAACTGATCTCCAATTCCCTGATCCGTGTTCTTGAATGTAAGACACCAACATGATGTCCTCTTCTGGAGTCCAAGGTCCTTTCTTAGTCCCAATTTTGTCACAGCAAGGTGGCCTCCCCATCTCATATATATATAATTGAGCTTTCCCTGGATTCTGAGTTTGACTCTTGAAATCCAAAGCTTAATCTGAGAGAAAGGTCGATGTTGCGTCTACTTTGTGGATTCTACATAGACGTAGGTGCAGAGACAAGCCTACAGTACTGAAACTGGAATTGTCTTGTCAGGTACTTATATATAGAGAGGGACAATAAAGGCAGCTATGTCTGTAGGGTGGGAAATTTCTTAGGAACAAACTTGAGGTTAGCTAACTACTCAAATTAATGCTTAAAATTAAAAAAAAAATAAGGAAAAGAAACAATTAATTAAATGTATATAAAATTAAGGTTAAAATGCTATTTTAATATTTATTATTTCACTTATTTTATTTTAAATATCTATAGTTTAAAATAAATATTTTTAATCCATATATATTTATCTTTTTCAATCATTTGTAGTTATTATACATCTTTTAGTTCTTATACTTACAATTTTTTTTAATTTCTATAATTTTTTTTTGTAATATTATCTCTTTGGTATTGATATGATCATAAAGATATTAATTAAACTTTGTGTATTTGTCAAATTTATCTTATTAAAATTATTCTAAATTAGATCTATTGATATTTCGTAGTTATTTTATATTTTCACTTGGAATGTTCATTGTTAAGACATTCTTTTATGTTTAAAAAAATAAAAAATAAAAAACCTTTATTACATTAATACAAAACAAACAATATTAAAAAAAAAAATGATAGAAACTAAAAGATTAAAAATTGTAAATATAAGACTAAAAAGATCTATCTTATATTATTAAGATTAAAAATAATTTTAAAAAATAAATATATGGACTAAAATCGCTTACTTTAAATTATAAAGACTAAAAAATAAAATAAATAAAATTATAGAAACTAAAAAGAATATTTTAACCTAAAATTAATATATTTATAGGGTTTATACATGTAGAATGCTCAAATTAAATGTATATAAACGTTTATACATGTAGAATGCTCATTTAGGGATGTGGAGATTGTCGATCAGCAGTTGAAATTTTGTAAGTTTGTTATATGACATTTGACAAATAACACTTGGTTTGGTTTTCTATCTAAGAATTTCGGTCTCTCTATTTTTGGCAAAATATTACAAACTACAAAGAATGACAAATCAACGAAAAATTGGAAACCACCGGAGTCAATCTAGTGATAAGTTGTTATAATTTTTAGATTCAAATGAATAAAAAATAACAAATCTATGATGCATTAAATTGCAACTATTGTGGAAGCACTCTATAAGCTTGTGAAATGCTCCCATTTGGCACAAGGAAAAAATTCTATTACTTTTGTTGCTTTTCAATACTTCATTATGACTTATATATATAAAAAATGCTTAAATATTTTGAATTAAAATATAAACAAATTTTGATTAAGTAAATGTTATTTAATGTTCTTAATATATATATATTTAAGATAATAAGTGAGAGTATATATATCTATTAACTATTATTCTATTATAGGTGTAGTTAAGAATATTTTAGTAAATATAGTGTATATTTTATGTGAAATTAAAAAAATTAAATATATTTAATTATTTTTCTTAATCTGTGTGAAATTAATTTTTTTATACATAGACCAAGAGAGAGTATTTGTTTAACATAAATTAAGAAACCTAATATATTTTCAGTTTTTAATAAAATGATTTTGATCTTTTCTATTATATACTCCTTTTATTTTCTTCTTTATATTAAATGTATATTAATTATTAATTATTAATATATAAATTAATGAAAAGTTAAATAGAATATAAGGATATAAATATATTAAATTTATTAATGTTGTCTTGAAGTTTAAAAATGTTACATAAATAAAATTATTTTAAAAAATCGATAATTAAAAAGAGTGAGAGAAGTAACTCAAGTCCTGGTTTCTTGTCATTAGAGGACTCTGACGTGGTAACATGAGTTGCTTGAAGAAGAGAGAGTTGCTTCCTCAAGCAACCGTTCCTTACCAGATTTCAAGCAAATCTTATTGAACATATTTGGGAACGTTTCAGAAATAATAATGATGAAAATTAATTTCGTATAATATTTATGTATTTACTATTGCTTTATTTTATTTTTAATATCTACTTATTGTGTATTTTTTCTCGTAATTTATTTTCTTGCATTATAGTGTAATTATCTTTTTTAATAAAAATTTAAATTTAGTTCATAAATAATTAGAAAAAAAATTCTAAAAGTTGAATTTCTTAAAATTTCTTACCATTGGAATAAATTTATGTTTGAATTGCTTAATGCTGACATGGCACAATGAATACCACTTATTTTATTTTTTAATGCATGAAGCAACCCAAATGAGTTGCTTCTGCCCTATATTTATATTTATTTTCTTTTATAATTTTGTCATTAGTACGGAATTTTTGCAAGCTTTGCCGGATGTCGCTGTTTCTCCACCTTTAAATACCTTTTATATTTAATTTTATAAATTTAAATATATTTCTATCACCACTATTTAGTAACATGGTATCATGTAAACATTAAATGCATGTAACATTAACGTTAAGAAATAGTAGCCAATATTTTAAAAAAAATTAAATTTATAAAATTGAAAATTATATTAAAATAAAAGTAAAAATAAATCTAACCATATTATAAAAAAATACATGTTTCCCCCGAGAAGTATTAGCTCATATATATAGAAAAGAAGTGTGCAGAAGAAAAAATATTGCATTCAATTACTAACGATTATTTTTCTGATTATGGATCAATAATATTATTATAAGTATGACTTACGTACGTAAATAATAATTAATGAAACACCTTATTTTAGAAAGAAAAAAAAAACATTTCACTCAGAAAATCATTTCAGCTTATTTGTTGATTTTTGTAAATTATTATTAATTTATTACTTGTATACATAAAGTACCTCCTCCTCCTTTTTTTTATTTAAAAAAAATGTTACATATTGTAGTAACCCAATTTCGTTCGGGAAATGTCAATTTTTGTCCATGAAAGATGTTGTTTACTATGAAAGAATTTATTTACTCAAAAAAAAATCATTATTGTTTACATTTATTGTGAATTAATGTTGGGGTAGAGGGTATCACAATTACTCTGAATCGAATACTTACTTAAACGTCAAGAGTGTTTTTCCAGATATTCTCCCCGTCGCTTAGAGCAAAGATTCAGTTATTACATCTAACTAATCAGACCAGTCGTCAAAAAGATCAGCAAAAGTATTTTTTCTTACAGGAACAAAATTTTTTGTCAATTTTGATTTTGATTTTATTTTTTTAGTATTTTAATCTCTAACATCGCATTTTTAGAAATGAAAATTAAATAAAATTTGCTTAAAGGTAAAAATAAAAATTGATAAAAATTTAGAGGTTAAAATTTAATCTTGGAGAGGGCCTGGGGAATGCAAGGAAGGTAAGGTATAAACGAAAGGGGATAAGGAAGCAAAAGTGGATGAGGCGAGAAATGAGTTCTGCTTCTGGTTCGAGTAGCAGAGAAGAGAGGAGAAGAAAGGCGAGGTCCACGTCACCACTGAAGGATCGATCCAGAACCTCTTCATCTAACTTGGCCTCTTCGCCCAAACGAAGCACCTCACCCTCTGCTACTCTTCTCGACGTCGACGATGACCTCTTTCGCGATTATCCCAACCCTAACCCTAGCCCTCGAAGCTTCCCTCACAACGTTAAACAGAAATGCTGGGAAAAGGCCGACAAGGTCAAAGGACGAGACCCCGAACGCTGGCGCAGGGACGCCCTCGGCAACATCGTCTTCCGCAAGCTCCTAGGTTGCCCTGGCTGTCTCTGTCACGACTACGATCACATTCTCCCTTACTCTAAGGTCACCCATTCCCTTTATTTCCACTTCTTAATTCAATTTTTCATGTCAATTTTTTCTTTCAATTGCTATGTGCCGTGCTACCTAACTGTATTAGCCTTAGGAGAAGAAACTATTCAATGCAAATCGCTGTTGACCTCCTTTGACCAATAACAATAGTTCAGGCACTAGATTTTAACTGGTTAGATATCTGTGGCTATGCTTCCATGGACGAGAATGAAGGGGAAGTGGAGTTTTTAGTTTAACCATCTCCTTATTTCAAAGTTTATTAGTAAAGGAGAACCGCTGGGAGAGGTGCTCACATCTAGCGTCAGACATTTCGATCGAGATTGTCTCAGAAGTAGGATACATGTTTGAAACAAAAAATGAATAAAATAATAATAATAAAGGAGAAGATGGTGATAGTTTTTTATGTGATCCTCGAAAACCCCTGTCCTAGTTATTCTTGTGAACACTTTGAATTTTCATCAGTTTTGTAGGATTATAACCCCCGTCTCCCATTTTTTTTTTTCCTTCTATTTTGGAGTCTTCCTTTTTCCTTTGATTCCATCGGTCCTTCCTTTGTAGCGTCTAAACACATGCCTGTCAACAAAAGATCATCATTGAATTACTAAGAGTAAGTTTGAATACAGTCTAGAAAAACTTTTGAGAGTTTCTCTATTGAATATAAATCCCAGTCGAAAAGCTATTAAAAGTCTTTCAAAGCTTGCATCCAAATATGCTGTAACTCATTTTGGGTTTGATTTCTTTTTGCCTTTTGCTTATTCTTCATTTGGTTTCTTTTTTTGAAACTATAGGGGGGTGAAAGCACACTGGAAAACTGTCAAGTATTACAGGTAAGGTTTCTCACTTTTTCTCCATTCCTCTGTTCCCATTTGGAGGAAGAACCTGTCTGGGGGCTGTGAGGAAGTTTTGTAATATTTTTGTTGCATAATGTACTTTTACAACATGCCTTTTTAATATATATATATATATATATATATATATATATATATATTTATTGGTTTTTTTCTTTCCAAATTTAAACATGTTTCCACTGATAAATATGCTGCTGTTATATGTATTACAATGATGCTAGTAAACTTGATATGAGGATTTCTTTTTACATTAGTACGTAAATAATCATCCACATTTCTGTGTTATGGATTTTCCTTTTACCTAAAGGAAGTTTTCTATCATAAAAGAATCACTTTTTAGTGTTGTATAGAGCTGATAGGAATAGGGTGAAACAGGCTAGTTGATATGAATATCAAACAGTTGTGGTGAAGTTGGATTAGTAGTGGTGGCATATATTTAGCTGGTTCTTAAAAAGGTCACTCACACCTTTACTTTATTAGATACAGGCATTTAGATTACTCAAATCATTTGATATTTCTCTCCATTTCTTCTATTACACTATTTGTGTATGATTTTCAAACTTCCTAATGACTAGTCCCACAAGGTTTGCCATTACTCTTATTTGGTGTTCATATGATTTCCTTCTTCCAATTGATTTGTTCATGGAGTCTATTGGTGTCACAAGCTTTTGCTTATTTTCCAATAAAAAGTAATTGGGGATTTAATCTGTTTCCCTATTTTGATGTGCTTTGTATTCATTTAATAAGTTTTCTATCCATGATTTTCAGGCAACAGTTAATCGTGCAAAGGGTAATCGAACAGAGATCTCCAAAGCTGAACTTATTCAGAAGAGTTCTTATTGCAGGGTTTCAGGTACAACTATAATAATATGATTATATTAGCTATAGTAGAAATTAGAGATTTATTGATGGTATACTGTATGCATTGCAGATCGTGATATGGATCTTCTGGAACTGTCAGCCTATGGAAATGTCCGGCGGGGACAGGATTCTGGGGGATGTAGAATCCAATGAACATTTATATCCTTATTAACTTATTGTGTGGTTGATTCCTTGATGGGGGTTAAATGATGACCTTGTAGCTATTCATTCTCACAAATCATTAGGGTTTCCCTTGTGTACAGACAAGTTAAAACTGCAAAGAAAGTGATGATATTGTCATTCCTGAGGTAGCTGCATACTTGTGTTCAAGTGTAGCTACATTAATCTCTTGAGCTGCATGATTTTGATGGCAAGTTCTGGCACTTACCTGTTCAGGTCATTTTTTCTTTTCTTCACACCCGTTACAGTTCACTCCACTATTCTATAGCAACTAGAATGTGTTCTTCAAATTTTGATATGTTAAGGTCGTATTCAAATCTTGTATCTTTTAATCTTTTGATGTACATTAATAAGGGCCTACCTATTTAATGTTGAGAGAGAGAAGATTTGAACGCGGCTTATATATATCATATACTCCATAAAAGGATCCATTCATTCCGTCGTAGAAACTTTTTTGTTTCAACAATATCATAGCTGCCCTTTATCTCAAATTATTGTTGATTGATAGTATATTTAACATGATAGTTGCATTTTGATTTAAATTCATATGTATTAATAGTCATAGAGAAATGTTAATAACACACTACAATTTCTAATATTGACCGAAATTTTTTAGAAATCTAAACAAATCTAATGTCAAATGGGACGTGTAAAGGAGTCAACTTCTCATAATGATTAGTAGTATTTATGGGGTCTGAATCTTGTGTAATATTTTTTGTGTATTTGCTTTAGATTTTAGCAGGATGAATTTTTAACAAGTTGATATTAATATTTATTACTTATTGCATCGTCTTCCGCAAGCTCCTAGGTTGCCCTGGCTGTCTCTGTCACGACTACGATCACATTCTCCCTTACTCTAAGGTCACCCATTCCCTTTATTTCCACTTCTTAATTCAATTTTTCATGTCAATTTTTTCTTTCAATTGCTATGTGCCGTGCTACCTAACTGTATTAGCCTTAGGAGAAGAAACTATTCAATGCAAATCGCTGTTGACCTCCTTTGACCAATAACAATAGTTCAGGCACTAGATTTTAACTGGTTAGATATCTGTGGCTATGCTTCCATGGACGAGAATGAAGGGGAAGTGGAGTTTTTAGTTTAACCATCTCCTTATTTCAAAGTTTATTAGTAAAGGAGAACCGCTGGGAGAGGTGCTCACATCTAGCGTCAGACATTTCGATCGAGATTGTCTCAGAAGTAGGATACATGTTTGAAACAAAAAATGAATAAAATAATAATAATAAAGGAGAAGATGGTGATAGTTTTTTATGTGATCCTCGAAAACCCCTGTCCTAGTTATTCTTGTGAACACTTTGAATTTTCATCAGTTTTGTAGGATTATAACCCCCGTCTCCCATTTTTTTTTTTCCTTCTATTTTGGAGTCTTCCTTTTTCCTTTGATTCCATCGGTCCTTCCTTTGTAGCGTCTAAACACATGCCTGTCAACAAAAGATCATCATTGAATTACTAAGAGTAAGTTTGAATACAGTCTAGAAAAACTTTTGAGAGTTTCTCTATTGAATATAAATCCCAGTCGAAAAGCTATTAAAAGTCTTTCAAAGCTTGCATCCAAATATGCTGTAACTCATTTTGGGTTTGATTTCTTTTTGCCTTTTGCTTATTCTTCATTTGGTTTCTTTTTTTGAAACTATAGGGGGGTGAAAGCACACTGGAAAACTGTCAAGTATTACAGGTAAGGTTTCTCACTTTTTCTCCATTCCTCTGTTCCCATTTGGAGGAAGAACCTGTCTGGGGGCTGTGAGGAAGTTTTGTAATATTTTTGTTGCATAATGTACTTTTACAACATGCCTTTTTAATATATATATATATATATATATATATATATATATATATTTATTGGTTTTTTTCTTTCCAAATTTAAATATGTTTCCACTTATAAATACACATGCTCTCACTTCACATATCACATGTCTCATACCACCTCATATATTCCATGTACATTTTCAAATACATTAGCTAGCCAATAATAAAAAGGTAGTATCAAGATCACAAAGGTAAAACAACCAATTAATAGTCCCTGCCCAACAACATCTAGTTGAACAAGTTGAGCGACCAGTCATCTAGCTAAGCAAGTTGAGCCCCCTAAGGTTTCTCGCTAAGTGACCTATATCTAGTTGAGTGAGTTGGGGCTTGTCACTAAGTGACTAATCACCCAACTGAGGAGATGAGCCCCCTAAGACTTCTCGCTAAGCGACCAATCTAGCTGAGTGAGTTAAGCTCCCTAAAGCTTTTCATTGAGCAACCTTGCACGTCTCATTAAGCGAGAACACAATCTTCCTTCATGAAAATTGTGACACCCTCTACCCCAACATTAATACACAATAAATATAATAATAAAAAAAATTTATTTCTTTTTGAGTAAATAAAATCTTTCATAATTAACATCTTTCATGGATAAAACAATTGTTCCAAATATCATAAGGTAGAAGATTCACATTCGTAACTCATAAATCATAACAAGTCGACATGTAAGTATTAAGATTCAAGAAAATCATATAAAAGAAAATATAGATTAATTCTAGCAAAGGTAGCAGTGCCTCCTAGTTAGGAATTAATTTATAACTTTCAATTCATGTAATAAAAATAATATAACAAAGATATACATTTTGGTCTTTTCTCAAGAACGTTCAAAATTACAAAAGAAGAGAAAATTAAAGCTTTTAAAACAATAATATCCCAAAATAAGCCTAGTTATGCCCGATGTCACATCCTATCAAAGCATGCCCAACTGAACCCTTAAGCCTCATTACCAACATCATGATCACCTGCAACATAATTTAAACATATACAAGAACAACAAGGGAGTGAGAAACATCTTACTCAGTTTCAGGTGCAGAAATAAAGGTTAAATAGCCCACACACACACAACAAATATAAGTCACATGTAAATAACATACATAAATAATCAATATCACATATATATTCATTTATCATGCTATGATGTCATGGACTCGACTCATAAATGCATGCATGTGGCGCCATAAGGAAGTTTCACATATCATCACTGGTGACC